CACGCCCCGGCCACAAGTGCGACACTCGGCTGATCGACGCGAATAGATACATACCCGCTCGCGGTCCTTACATACATTTTTTATTTTTTTCCGGCAACGACAACCCTGTACTTAACCAATGTTTTAAAAAATATATTTATGCAGTCCACTCTCATTTTATTCCGCCTAACACCAAAGGAATCACATCAACACTCACTTGCAACTGAAAAGTCACAAGTGCCTTGTCACCTTCTGAGCCCCTTTTGAGGGAATGGAAGGTTCCCGGTAACCTCACACATTCGGTGAAAAGCAACTCAGGAATTGCTTACCAGCGGTTTACTGTGACACTCCAGTCATCACATACTACAACAGCCATTAAAAGTCCACTGCTGGACATAGGAATCTCTTAGAGAAGAGTTTTTGGCCTACTACACTACCCTGGCCAGACAGGTTTGTGTAGGGTTTGTGTCAAGTTTTCCTTCTCTCCAGTATCACTCCAGTTGAGCTGACCCATTTGTACCCAGACATGACTCTTTCACGTCGATATTGTGGCAAATATTAAATTAAGTGCAATTAATTTTTATTCAATGTTACTAACACTAAGAAACTGGTAACCTTTTATTTTATCTAAATTACTGACCTCTAAATGATTGGCAGGTGTAGCAACGTTGATCATTCGTTGATCTGGTCAGATAATATCAAGATATCTCGGTCAAGGTCAAGGTCATCTCGCCGCTTCCTACTGCGCTGAGTGTTTTGGGTTCGATATTCGATCCCCACGTCGGACAACACTTTGTGTGATCAACAAATTGTTGTTCCGAGTCTGGGTGTTCTCTGTGTCCGTTTCTTGTCCGGATGTAAAATCCCCCGAGACTCAGGGTATATTACTAGTGCGGTGTCTTTTTAAAACATAAAACTAAAATTTCATGAAATGATCGAGCCACATCATGAACTAATCAATTATGAGAGACATGGCCACGTCATATATGTGTAGGTAAATCTAGGTTACAAAAAAAAAGTGATTTGTTGTTATAATTGTTTCAACAATTCTCTCTAAGGAAAGTGAAAATCCTATCCATCTCTAAAGGTGGCAAAAAAATACTGTAGGTACCTGAAAACAATCAATATTTAAAAAATTATCATCGACTTCAATGCGACTACTTTATAAGAAAATGTATTATTATGATTAAGAATACGGAGAATAGGGGTGGTGACCCGCCCCCGTGATTCGCCCCGTGGGTGTCGTAAGAGCCTACTTAAGGGAGTAGAGTTCAAGTACTGCAAAAAGAAGGAAAACTTGACACAAACCCAATGCCAACACGTCTGGCCGGCGTGGTATAGTAAGCCAATACTGGCTGTTTATGATGTGACCCTCCCAAAAAAATACGTTTCATAAATGACAGAGTTCTGAGATCATAAAAATATAACCAAGTCGGTTAATACACACAGCCATATGTTTCAGTGGATATATTTCAATGTTGTGTATACACTGGTGTAAGGTGCTGTGTCAATACACCATACACTATATTCACCGGAGCATTGTTGCAAGCTTTATATTAGGTATACATGTATTGTGGTCAGTATGTTTGGCAAAGGCTTAGTCAAACCACAAATAGGTCAACATCTACTCACATATAACGTACTAGCATTACAAATCTGTATATGACGACACAAATATATGTGATAACTATATAAATATGAATACCTGTATATAATAATATATAGGTGTATTTAATAGTATGTGTAATATAATATATTATTTAATATATTATATTTATTATATATTTTACATACTTAATTTATAATATACTAGCTGACCCGCGCAACTTCGTCTGCGTCTCTCAATAGTAATAAATTTTCTCCGTTTTTGAAACATTCTTCATTGGTGCTCCGCTCCTATTGGTCTTAGCGTGATGATATATAGCCTATAGCCTTCCTCGATAAATGGGCTATCTAACACTGAAAGAATTTTTCAAATCGGACCAGTAGTTCCTGAGATTAGCGCGTTCAAACAAACAAACAAACAAACTCTTCAGCTTTATAATATTAGTATAGATTATCTATACGTGCAAGAGAATTTCTTTCTACGCATTTTTAAGAATATTTCGTGAACGAAGAAATATAAAATTTGGAATGATTCAAATCAAATCACATCAAACTTTACTTGTTTAGAATGTAGGTAAAAAAATACAAATTAGATGTTGTGTAAGTAAAGTAAGTTCCTGGTACATTCTGCCATACGGCATACAAATCTTAAAATAATATTGTGAATAATTTATTGCTTACAAAAATTTATGACTGATAGTAAATAATGAAGATAAAAAAAAACAATTATTAAATAAAATTAGAATATAAAAACCTTTTACATATGTCAATAAAATTATAATGAGAAATAATAAAATGGAAATCTTTGTTTGTCAAAAAAACTACAAAAAATGTCATAAAAAATAAAACAATATAGTAATTAAATTGCATCATTTAAATAATCCGTGAGACAGTAATAACATTTCTCCACTAGGAAGTCTGTCAACTTATTTTTAAATTGTTGAAGTGGCAAATTTTTCAATGTATCTGGTATTTTATTATACATTGTAGGCCCCATACACAATACGCTTTTCCTTAGAAGTGCAGTTTTGTATGCACCCGTCGATAACATGCTAGTGTATTGTGATCTTAACTGTGTTGATCGTTTTCTGCTGTCATTAAATAATGGAAACAAATGTCTGTTAAATTTAACAAACATTGCTACATATTTCCAAAATATATAAGCACGGAAAAGTTAATAATTTAAAATTCTTAAAAGCAGATACAAAACTGTCCGTAGTTAATAAGCCCGCTATTGCTCTAATACAGCGTTTTTGAGATTTAAATATATATGCCGAAACTCAACACTGAGGAAACCATACCGTGATATGCTAATAGCAGTGTGTTTGTGTTTACCTTTTTTGCAAGATGGAAGAGTGCATAAGCAGATTTATTTAATTTCTTGCATATGTGTGTTCTCTACCTGCGGCTTCCATGAAAGCTGACTATCAACAAGAATACCCAAAAATCTTGCTACATTTACTTCCTGTATGTCTTGCCCATTATATTTAATACAAAAATTGTCTATCATTCTGCGTTGGAAGAAATGCATTACTGTAGTTTTCTATAAATTTATTACCAGATTATTTGCATTCAATCAATCTACTATTTTGTGTAATGTGTTGTTAATTTCCTGTTCATATGTATCCCTATCGTCACACGTAATTATTGCAGTACTGTCATCAGCAAAAAGAACCATTGGTTGTTGAATTTAGCGTGGAAGGTCATTGATATATATTAAAAATAATAAGGGTCCCAGTACACTTCCCTGTGGTACACCATAGACTGTACTTTTATAATCAGACCTAAACTTTACTTCACGTTTACTTTTTTCGTTTATACGAATTATCTCTGTATACTGTCTACGATCACTTAAATATGATTTTATTAAATCTAAAACATTTCCTCTAAATCTATAAGCGTTAAGTTTATCAATGAGAGTGTCATGTTTCACATAGTCAAATGCTTTAGACATATCAGTAAATATTGCACATAATGACGTCTTAGTATCAACCTTGACCATTATTTTCCTTAAAAGGTCATATATTGCCATGTTAATATTTCTATTTTGTCTAAATCCCATTTGTTCGTCACATAGAATGTCAAATTTTATTAAAAAATTGTCAATAGCTTCGTAAATTACTTTTTCTATAACCTTAGAGAAAACTGGGGTTAGAGCTATATGCCTGTAATTGGTTAGTTTATCCTTACAGTATTTTTTATGTAGTGGTTTAATTATAGCTATTTTTAATTTATCTGGATATACACCTGATGTTATACTACAATTACAATTACACAATTAGTTATGTGACAAAGGGGAGCAGCTATTACCTCAGAAACATATTTAACAACTCTTGTTGATATCCCATCGTAGCCAGTGCTGTTTTTGTTTTTTAAAGATTTTATTAATCGTATTATATCTTGCTGTACCACTGGAGCCATGAATAGAGAATAACGATAGGTTTTCGGACCCATAACTGTATTTTTTGATGTAATAGTCCTTGAACCAGATGTGATATGATCAATGAAGTAGTTGTGGAATGTATTAGCAATTTCTGTCGGGTCTTTTATTATTTTATCTGATAGCTGTATCAGTAAGATGGGTTCTAGTGTATTTTTATGCTGATTAATAACGTGCCACGAAGCTTTTGATTTATTTTTCGAGTTTGATATGTAGTAATTACTTTGGGCCTTTTGTGTTAATTTAACAACTTTTTAAAAAGAAATTGTATAAGTTCTGATTTTTTTTCTATTCTCAGTTGATGGTGATAGGCGATATTTCCATAGGAAACTTCGTTGTTTTTACTACATAATCGTATACCTTTTGATATCCATTTAACATTTTTTTTTGCCTTTTACTGTTAAGTTTAAGTTTTAAGATTAAGTTTATTTATAAAATCAGTGCAGAAAGCCAAATTAAATTGTTTAAAAAGCTAGCTAGCAATATATGCTACAAATTAAGCGGTTTTTTTTTCGCAAAATTCTGTGACACATGGGATCTATACACTGCACTGGTGGGAAAAAAATCGCTCGAAATTAAATCTGTGATTTGATATAAATTTAATGTGATAAGGTGGCGATTTACTTCCGCTCGAATAGAAACCTCGCGGTGAAATATCGACGTTGTGATTTTTTAAATCAAAAATTAGAAAAAAAAGCAAAAATTAGAATAAGGTGTATTAAACTAAGGAAACTTAAAAGTTGACCTGGTATGTCACGTAAAGTGTTATTATTATACTGGAAATTAATATGTCTGACAACTAAAATTTAAATGTTGAAAACATTTAATTAATCATGGTAATCGTTGACCATACGGCAATCTTTTACTAATGATGAATCTTCTAGTTAATTGAAAAAAGAAGAAAACATCTCTTTTCACTTTTATTGTACGCCTGTAATGAAATAAATAAAACGAAATATAAATTTTAAAATATAATTTAACTTTCATCATCAAATACAATTTTTTTACCTTCAAATGGTAAAATACCAGACTTCTTTTTCTTAGCTTCCCAAGAGGGATGCAATTTCTCTTCTTTTTTATCACTAAACTTATCATAGACATTCTTTCTATCATTGAAAGTATTTACATTATTAGCTTCCCGCCGAGTATTAAAATCATCGAATCTCTTTCTATCATTGAAATTATTATTAAAAGGTAATTTATTATTATCTTGCCGCCGATTATTAAATTTATCATCGACTCTCTTTCTATCATTGAAATTATTATTAAAAGGTTTATTATTATTATCTCCCCGCCAATTATTAAACTTATTTCCGTTTTTATTACTATTTTTTCCAAACCTACTATCATCCCTATAGCTACTATTATTTTTTCTTGGTCTTGTATTTGGAACATGACCAAACATGGCTGCTCTTCTTAGCTTCCTGTTACCTTGTTGATGCTCTTCTTTTACTTCATCAGGGTCCCTAGGTTCTACTACAGACATATAATTCTCACCAGTAGCTGTAACGAAAAATGGGTCAACAATTTTATTTGCTACAACCGGTGCTGCATCCTTATTTAATTTTTTTTGCTGAATTTTCTCATTGAAATGCTTATGCTTGTCTATGTCTTTCTGCTTTCTTTCCTGAGTTTTCTTAATTGTCTTTTTTGGTTTGATGTTACTTGTTTGTTCAGTAATCATTTTTTGTATCTCTATATTTTCTAATGATTTCTCGGATTCAGGTTTTATTTTTGTTTGATTACTAACTTCTTCTACAGCTTGAGAATTCTCATCTTCAGATTTCGTAGCATCAGATTCTTCATCTTTATTTTCTACATCACCTGAAGACAACTGTTCAGCATCTTCTTCAGAATTATTTTCTTCCTCATCACTTGGTAAATCTTTTGATTCAGCATCCTTTCCATTACTTTTCTCATTTTCACCATCGCTATCCATACAGTCATCACTATCTTCACCTTTTAGTTCATGATCATCATCATCTTCTTCACTCAATTTGTTGTCATCATTAGTTCTTTCACTTAAATTGGTCTTACCAACGTCTTCTACATCCCAATCACCTTCAGAGTTAACAATATTACTATTCTTGCCTTTTTTCTTCTTTTCTTTGTTCTCTTTTGCTTCTTTTTTCATCTTTCTTCTTTCCAATCGAGACATAAAAAGATCTTTAATGGGAACATTGGTAAATCTGTCTCTAATAAACTTGTATTTCTCCTGCAAAGCTTTATGTAGCAATAAGCGAGCACATACTTTATCATTATCCACAGTGGGCTTGTTTAAAATATCTTTTAATTCTCCTTTGTGTGTGACTATAAATTTGGCAATATCTTTTGGTTTTACTTTCTGTAAAATTTGAAAGTAATTTTAAAATACATTAGAAGTGGATAATTAAATCAAACAAATCAAAACAAACCAAACATCGTCAAGCAGTCAATTGGGTTATGAGATATTAAAATGTAAAGAATAGTCTTTGAAAGAATTTGTAATATTTTCATATGTTATTACAAATATGGTGCACATTACTATTTTCACATACTATTATATATTTTGACTTGTTATGTTACAACAGATATACAATGAGAGTTCAAGTTATACTAGTCACAACGAAATAAACCAAAACTTTCAAAATGGTTGATAGTCAACCACTAGGTGATATCTAGTATATACAAATTACCTTTATAAGCAAAACCTCATTCACAGCAGCCTGCGCCTTCCTTTTTAGCTTTTCTTTTAAAGGATCTGGAGCTTTCTTTCCAACCAGTTGTTTAGCTTTTCTGGTTAATTTATGTATGATCTGTATTTTTGCTTGATTCAAATTCTTTTTTAGTAATATTACCTGCAAATGGTATTTTGATAAGAGCCTTTAATTGCAACACAAGACTAGTACCAATTGGATAGACAACTGTTAAATTAAATCAGTATCTTTTTATTAAAGTCAAAATGATAGACCCTGTCCATTTTTGTATAAAGTACTATGAAGCGATGTCATACTTAAAGTCATTTATATTTAATGATAATTTGAAGATAAATAAAACAAGTAAGGGAACAAACTATGCAGGACAACAGCATTGTAAAGGAAAACTTGACACAAACCATTTACCAATCCTTATGGCCAGCGTGGTATAGTTAGCCAAAACCTCCTTTCTAGGGAGAGGCCTAAATTGATAATGGAAATATATTTAGAGTGTATCTTATGATGTCACATTAGTGTGTGTGTGTGTGTGTGTGTTTGTGTGTAGTAAAAATAATTTATTTTAAACCTAGAAAGCAGGGTAGATTGACCACACAAATAATGTGTGTATATGTATTAATATATGGTTAGGTTCATTCAAGAATATGTTGACTTTTGACTAAATTATACCCATTAAATTGTGCTATGATAATTATTCAAAATTAATGTATCTAAACACACATTAAGATACTTACCTCATTATTAAAAGCTTGTTTTACTGCGCCAACTTCCATTTTTTTAGATTTATTTTTTATTATAGGTTATATTAGGCCGATTTCAAATAGAATGAAACGTTGTTATATTTCATGAAATAGTTACATCTGATAACCTATGGCTTTTGTATTACCGATTTTACTTTTACTAACCCATATACAAACTTATATTTGGAACAACACAAAATAAATCTTTCATTATACAGAACTCGTGTTGAATTGTTGACTATTTTAATGTCAATGTCAAATCTGACAAATTCAATTTTGACTTGCAAACAAAGCTATGTATGATAAAGGCTCCAGTACACATTGACTATTTTGAAACATGTAGTTGGAAGTAAAAAGTGTCAAGTTATAACCTTTACCTAAAATAACAAGTCACTTGATTACTGTTACCAGATTAAAGGAGTCACTATATAAAGAGCTAAGGAAGTGCGCAACTTGGGGGTGAACTTTAACTCTACTATGTCGTTCAGACCTCATTACTACTACATTTGCAATAAGGCTAATCGTATGTTGTCGCTTCTGCTTCGAAATGCTAGACCTTACCTTTTAAAAAAGCTAGTTCCTTAATAACTTTATACTACTGTTTAGTAAGAAGCATAGCATAGTACTGCTCATCAGTATGGGCTCCCATCTATTAGACCCATATAGATCGAATAGAGGCAGTCCAGAGGCGTTTTGTTAGGGCATTGTCCTGTAATTTTGGCTTGAGGTAAAAAATACTGGATTACGACAGCCTGGTTCGTAGGTTTAAAATAAAGAGTCTAGAGAAGAGAAGGTGGCTAACTGACATGTGCACAATACATAAAATGGTAATGCCTGACTTGATAGTGAGTTTATTGGCTTGCTATACTTTAAGATACCAACACGAGCCGTACGTATGCCACAGCTGTTCTCAGAACCTAGTAGCAACAATAATATATCACAGAACAATCCAATCTCCCGAATGTGCAGTCAATGTGCTCTCGGCTATTTGTTTTTTTTTTACTTAATGAACTTTAATACAGAGGTTTTACTTAATTCTATATTTGCCAAATTTTACGTTTGAAGGCAAGAACGCTCTTTTACACAACAAGGAACTTTTATATTATATTGTTTTAAAAAACCGACTACATTCCAATCGCGTGCTACAATGGTCAATCCTCGAACAATGCATACGGGGCATGCCCAGTGTGGACGATCTCGATCACACGGGATGCCTTGGCTTGCCGTGGGCTGACATAGGCCAATGTGTACTGAGCCCTTAAAAGATACCAAATATAAACTATTCCTCATCTTTGGGAGAAAAGGACATTTTTAAAGTTAAAAATTAAATATTATGAACACACATATATTAAAGAATATGTGTTTTTGCTTTATTTTTATTTTTCCTGAGTTATTATATTCCATCGTATTCACCAAAATAAATACATCGGCAAATTGTGGGTGTTTTAATTTGCCCCTGTCTACCCCTTCGGAGATTAAGATGTGAGTTTATGTATGTAACCTATGTCTAAGACGTAGTTACATTTATACACATATTACATTTATACACACTTAGATCTGAGTTTATTATAATTCGCCGGAATTACTATGCTATTTAAATAAAGTATAACGCAATGGACTTCTATATTTGTTATTTATTTGAATCGATTAATGAGCTTTGAAGATTGTTGTTTTGCTAATACTGACCTGAAAGTTAAAACGACAACCAAAAAATTATTTATAAAAGCGATTTTTGCTAAAAATCTGCTTTTTGCTATTTAGATAAGTATAAATCGTTTTTTTAATGAGAGCTGACGTATTGATTTCGGTTCTTGGATCTTCTCTTTTAATATTGCTGTGAGCTATAGGTATAGAATTTATATATACTTACTCATCAAAGGAATAACAGCAGCTCCAATAATTAACATCATGTCATCGTCCACAATGCTCTCCCACACAACAAGTGCACACTTCCCTTGGCAACTGACAGAATTAACCTTGTGAACGCAGCTGACTAAATTTACCTAAATTAGCCTTTTGGTTGTCAGACTCGCTAAACATCTAGAGGGTAAAATTATAAATAAATGGATTAAGCTAAACTTGTTGGTCTTGTCTCGTCTTCTCTGTAATGCAAATTATTCATTACACCATGATTAACCATACCATAAAACCCAATAAAACCAATTAGCCAATGATACCATAGTATAATATTTTTTTTACACCATAGACACAGTTAAGTGTCAATTCATTGGAGTTTCAAGTAAAGCTTTGAAATAAAAAGTTAATAATTCTCTTTGGTCGGATCTGTCAATCCGAAATGTACGTAAAAGTTTCATTAAAAAATTTCTCTAAAAATCTAAATAATCTAATTATATTACTTAAGTACTGTGGTGATTTAAGATTCTGTACACATATATAAAAGTGCTGGTGCTTTAATTTCGTCGTTACAGTTTCTGTTTGTTTTTTCAGCATGGCTCCTCGGTTTGAGTTAGCTGTCGGTCTCCGAAAAGGACACAAAACAACTAAAATATCCGCTGGTAGAAAGGGTCTTACAGACAAAACTATCAGAACTAGACCCGCCAGACTAAAGGGTGTAAGTATCTTTGTTTTATTGATGAGAGGTTATGTTTTGCATCAACGACACATTACAGTATTAATGACACTGCAATGTGTTAACAGTTTCAGTAAGTCTAATGAGATAGTTATAAAGTACTGTTGTAAACTTTAATACAATACTGTCTATAGTTTCATTTCATTTTTCCATGGTACCAATTCAAAACATTAAGAAATTTACCTAGTACCTCATTACCCAAAAATTGATTACTCAAAACTAATGTTACAGATATCATAACTTTATTTTCCTTTGGATTTAGGTCCATTCTGCCCAAATCTTTATAAACCTATGATAGTTTACTTGTGAAAGTGTTGTAAGACGGAATTTGACAATTATTTTATCTTATAATTTTCAGCTTCAAACCAAACACTCCAAGTTTGTGCGTGATCTGGTACGTGAAGTCGTTGGACATGCACAGTATGAGAAGAGGGCTATGGAATTGCTTAAGGTATGATTTTTCAACTTTATTTCATTATTGTTCTCTCTCTCATCGTTCTAGGGATAACAACATTTTTGTTGTTTTAACCTTTGAAACAATACAACATTTTTATGGTAATGTGTACTTGATTAACAATTTGTCAGGTATTTTTATCTATACAAATAAATTAAATTAAATTGTCTGTTTGGAATGTCAAAATAATAGGTTTTTTCCATGCTCACATGGATATTTGCACCAATACCTATCTCCTGAAAATCAGTAAATAAATCGGTCCGGGAATTGGATCTACTAGGGCAGCTCTTTTCTAGTTCCATACAAACGAAGTTGTGGGTACCAGCTAGTTAAAAATATATTTAATGCCATTCCTTTCAATTAAAAAGGATGGCACTTAATAAAATTATAGCCTAAATATAGAAGGAATTACAAATTGCTGTGAGATATATTGTGTAATAATTAGTTTAAAATTATTTTGAATTTGTCCAAAAGATATTTTAGGTTAGAGAAAGAAGTAATATCTAACCTTAACTATAAAAGGAACAGCCTTACCAACCACGATAGCAGAACCAGATTGACATAGAACGTTGACTTCATACATCTCATGCATGGCTGTGTGATTCCTTAACTAGGCAGAGCTTGTACTATGGTAACCTTGTACTGATAACCATACCTATATTTAAATGCTGCGGCTGATGGTGAGTTAGAAATAGACTTCTCCTTAGGAAGGAGGTTTCGTCCTACTATACTACGCTGGCCAGATGGGTTGGTATAGGGTTTGTTTCAAGTTTTCCTTCTCTTTGCAGTTCTGTTGTCCTCACGGGATGAATGGGGGTGGTAACACTCCGTATTCTTAATCTGTTACAGCACAGATACACGGATTTCCAGATTACTTAATACATTTGACAGTGTACTGTAACAAAGTTTAATAAAGATTATTTGAGTTGAGTATAGATAAATTCCACAACAAATTACTATCACACAATTATTTGTCTTGGGTGGGAATTGAACCTGTAATGCCAAGCCACTATCATTCCATTGAGACCCTATTGACATCGGTCAAAATATCAGTATTCCACTAACATAAATTCAGTGTCAATAGATTGTCGATATAGTAATATAGATTATTATTGCCATATCATGAAAATTAAATACATATATCATTTTCTTACAAATTTAAAATGTACCTTTTACTAAACTATTACGAAGACATTGACAACATTTGTATTAGTGAGTCATCGGGAGGCCATTGGTCTTATATAGTTAGTAGAATAAGAAAAGTGCAAACTATTCTGACGACATTCCATTAAGTCTATTAATACAATATTAAAATAGCAGAATTGAGGTCCAGTTGAAAAAACGTAATACTATCTCCAGTTGTAAATTTGATAATTATTACAAACACTACAAATGTATTTGTAAGTTCTAATTTTGTGTAAAGATGATAAATTACTGCAATAGACAAGCCTTTTGGTATAGTGGTAAGTGATCCTGTCTGCCAAGCCAGAGGTTGATGATTCGGTTCCCACCCACCAGGAGAAATATTTGTGTGATGAGCATGATCATTAGTTCTGTGTCTCGGTGTAATTTATCTATGATATGTACGTATTTTTATCAGCAGTCTGGTTAGTTTAGTGAGGTCTCTGCCTAGTTTGGGATCAGATGGCGGCGTAAGATGTGTGAACCTATTATTAAACCATATCATATAAGGTATGACAGTCGGTGCTCTGGTCTGCCAATCCACTAAATAGTGACACTTGCTGATGCTGATGCTGAGTATACATTCACACACACATTATTTTACCGCAAAGGAGTGGCCATAGGATTATTACAGAATAATAATAATAATTTCACATATCTCACACACGGCTGTCTGATCCCAAACTAGGCAGAGCCTGTATAATGGTAACCACACTGCTGATAAACATACTTATATATTTCTAAATACATACATATTATAGATAAATTACACCCAAGCACAGAACAAATGAGCATGCTCATCACACAATTATTTATCCTGGGTGGGAATCAAGCTCACAACCTCTAGCTTAGCAGTCAGGGTCACTAACCACTAGACCGATAAGCCCGTCGATATCCCCAAAATATTGTAGATGTATTTCATTTTAATGAGTATTGAGGCATCATAACCCGACTGCCTGTTGTCCCTCAATCAAGCTACCTTTTAATCCATGCTAAGGTTGCCTGGAAGAGATTGCTCTTAGCAATAAGGCCACCCTTTGTACATTACATGTCTGAAATTTTTATGTACCATACCTGTAAAATGTGTGCAAATAAAGAGTTATCTATCTACCTACTTAGTTGTTACCTACCTATTTAGTTGTATTGTTATTTAAAATCTTTAGACATTGTGATTTTTTGGGCTTGACTCTGTATTTTAAGTGTTACCTATGCCAAACATCAGGCTACCAGATGCAGTCAGTGTGATGTGCAGCATTTATACAGTGTACAATTTCCATAAATCGTTTTATTATTTAACAATGAGAGACCCATGCTTCACCACATATGATGCTGGCTTTACTGAAGTAATACGATGGACTTGCACTCAGTGTGTGAGGTTACAAGAGGTCAAATCCCTCCCCCTGGGAGGGGGAATCAGACACAATTGCATTACCAACATATGTTTATTTATAAAGGCATTATTTACAACCATCCATACAGGCTATACCTAATACTGTAAAGGAGGATATTGTTTACCACAATAGTTTTCACTAACAATAAAAACACAATTGCCAAAACATGGCCTGTGTGAACTCACTCAAAACACGAAAATATATGTATAAAATTAAAATCCCAAATTGACTTAACAGGTGTCAAAAGACAAGCGTGCACTGAAGTTCCTGAAGCGTCGCCTTGGCACACACATCCGTGCTAAGAGGAAGCGTGAAGAGCTCAGCAACGTGTTGGTACAGATGAGGAAGGCTGCCGCTCAGGCCCACCACCACCCACACTAAGTCTATAATTAAATAACTACACTCTAATTATGGTTTTTTTTTCTTTTTATATCATTCATCTATCAATTAAGGAAACTTGCTGCTTTCATTATTTTTTTTAGGTTAGGAAAGGGACGCTCCAATAATATTTAAGTTTATAAAAGATCTCAATTTGAGCCTTTTAACCGAATCATAGTGTTCGCGTACATAATGTTTAGTGTTTATACGAAAAATAATTTTGAGAAGAGGGTAGATACAAAAAAAAGTAAGCGTCTCGGAACGCCCTACACAAGTGATAACTTAAACTAATCTAAGTTGAACTATTAAATATTGTTTAACGTGAAATTGTTTAACTTGAGAAAAGCTTAGGTTATTATTTAATTTTTATGTAAAGCGTCCGTCCAAAATAAGCCTTTTTTTTTCCGTGCGGAAATCCCCTCGGATACCACCTGTCGGTGGCATGTCGGACTCGAACCGACTAAAACCGCACGCCGTCGCCGGGTACTAATACCCGGGGAACCAGGTATACCCTAGAAAGGAAGTCCCTGGTGCCCCGACATACCTCGGGTCATCTACAGACGAGTAGACGACCCCCCGTGTGGGAACCCCATGTTCCCTGTGCTCCCTGGAAGCGAGCGCGCTTCGCAACGCGCTCGCCGCCACCCCGGCCTGCTTCTGCTAGGGTGACAGATGGCCTCACCTGTCACCCCCAGGCCTGCTCTTATGGAGGACGGAGGTCGTTCTGCGCGTCCGAAATACGCCTAGCTCTGTGGGTTAGAGTTAGAGAGGATGAGCCTGCCTACCGCTGCCGTTTGCGTGAGAAAGGAAAGCCAGGCAGACTGGCACCGTAACGCGTCTTGTCCCATAAGAAGTTATCACTTCAAAAATTCAAGATTCGAAAAAATCTGATATGGAACATCGAAATTATTTAATAGAGTAATGAGTATAAAAAATTACTCATCATAAAATAGGTTTGATAATCAGCGTGAGAGATTGTCACTTGCGCATGGTGGCATTATTACCAGAAGTAATACTGCCGTGTCGTAATAAAATGACCAGCAGAAGTACATAACCTGTTCCTACCATTTTTACAAATGGTTAAATGATTGACTCGATATAGAGATGAAAACTGCCTAGAGGTGAACGTGCGAAAATATTATAAATATTTTCCACGGTACTTCTGACAGTAAAGTACATTCTTTTTTTTCGTCAATTTAATAATAGTTCGAACAAACAGAAAAAATTGCCTTCGCCGCAATCTAGTAGAAATATAGATATTACCCGTGACATAAAAGCGTCAACTGCCAAAACTTCAAGTTTGTAGGCTAAAGCAACTGCGTTGATGAATCAGTCCGGTCAAGGCAAGTAATTTTATATGTATAAATATATAGTTAGATATACTACGGATATTACGTATTTAGTAAGTCAACATTAATGATGGAAAACTACATTGGCAATGATGGATTAATAGATAGGATTATCTCAAGTATTTTCCTATTAGGTTTCGGTACACGTGCAGATCTACTAACAGACTTGTGGATATAAAGGGATTCCTTTATAAAAGGATATATGCAATAACTGCGATTGGCCCACACTAAACTCTTCGATCTAAACGCCCCCGAACGCAATCACTGTGACGATCGAGTAGATGTGAATGAAACTCACACTAAGGCCTCAGAGCGCATTAAATGACCAATTAAGAGTCATTTTTTTTTGTGACTTGGTATAACGGTTTCTTGCTTTTTAGTTTTAGCACGGGCCATCTTAAAAGAAAAATAAGTAAAATATAAAAAATTAAGATGAATCTCTAGCCACACAACTATTATTAATTGGCCTGGAAAACAATGTTATATGATACCTACACAATGAAGGGAATGAATAAGGGTCCTTTGCGCAACTGATTCATTGTAGACTACCTATGGTTTTATTTATTTACCTCTAAAATGTAAACACTAATATGTGACACTTTAACATAACGATGTATTCCTAATCTACGAAATATGTTTGATGCTAAGTAATCATGTAAAATATAAATTTATCAACAATAATGCAGTACGAAATACTTACAGTTTTTTCGAAAACTTTCTTAAGCAAATTGGGTATGGCGGGGGGTTCAGGAGGGCGTCCTTACTAGTGATGTGCCGGATATCCGTATCCGCGGATATCCAAAGGAGAAGAGAGATCCGTATCCGTGATTTTTTTGGCGAATCTTTCAATACATATTACATAGATGAAATTCTATATAGGTGATTTCGTATTCACTGTAAAACTCTTAGGTATGTGTTTGTAACACTATAAACAGCAAATTTTTTACTGGCCAACGTCAAAAAAAAAAAATGGTCCTCCATTCAAATGACCAATCAAATGTTGTTAGTTTGTATGGAGAAACAATTTTTTTTCTTTCTTTTTCGGTGTTAGTCCAGAAGAAAAGTTGTTGTTTATAATGTTACTAATATGCACTTCATAGGTTTTCAGTAAATTTAAAGTAACCCTGAATAATGGTTATTAGGTAGCTATGAAAAACTATTGAATTCTGTTCAGATTACTTTTTATTTCTTAAAACAAATATTTGGCACCTTTGTATTGCAATCGTACTACACTAAATCAACTAGGCAGGTCGTAGGTACTGAAAGAGCTATCTTTATAATGAAATCAGTCAAACATTTTTGTATTAGCTTATTAAAAGAATGAAATATTTAAATATCAACGGCAAAGCGTCAAGTGGCGACAACTATCAAGGTCACGGGCTCCGATTGAGTAAGAAACTTAAGATCCGTATCCGTATCCGCGGATCTTGACACCAAATATCCGTATTCGGATCCGTATCCGCGGATATACTTTGTTAACGATCCGGCACATCACTTACGCGATATGCATGATCTCAAAACGCAGCTTTTCAGATATTTCACAATGTTTTATTGTATACGACTGTTTCATTGTTGAACGTCTGACCCTACTTATAAATCACACGTATTTATTTAGTTATATGTATCTAATAACACCACTAGCCTTGTTCTGCACATAGTAAATTCCCTCTAGTACGTTATATACTCACCAAAGTCCAACAAATAGATACTATGTGTAACTACCACTTTGATTTCCTATTCTGATCTATTTCCTAACACACCAGCCACTACCCTATACCTCCCCTTAATTTTTTCTCTCCATACCAAGCCACGGTTGCCTATAAGAGATTGCCTCTGAGCGATAAAGGCGTCACTTGTACTTGTCTAACCTAGTTTAAGTTATTTATTATATACTGGCGATCCGCCCCGGCCTCGCAAGGATGCAGTGTAGATAGTACTAATGTGGTGTCAGTGTGGAATAATTAGTTATACTATGATTATGATAAGAGTACACTACAGGACATCTTTAAATGCAATATTTATAGGCCCGCTCCGATCCTGACGGCCGCTGCCACCCGGGACGGACGTACGGCTCCGCTGCTGTTGGGGCCCCGCATTTTAAACCTCTAATATCTTATAAAATATTTATTTTAATGATATGCTGTACAAAGCAATTTTAATCTAGGAATGTTAAATGCACAACGTAACTAACGTAAATTTAATTGGATGTGGATTAATAATGTATTGTTTAAAATAGCTTCGTAAATAACCCATTATTTTTTGTAATGTTTAAGAGGTAAAAATGATTACTGTGGGTTTTTGTACATCTTTTTTAAGATATACAATTCCATAGTACCTACATTATTTTGGTCTATCTCGTGAGGTTTAGCCAGGGTTTTTTTACGACAAATCTTGAAAATTCTCGGATTTCCATATATTTTTATACAATAAACCTTCCTCTTGAATTACTTTCTCTATTGGTGAAAACCGCATTAAAATCCGTTGCTTAGTTTAAAAGATCTAACCGTACAACACAAAAAAGTGACTTTATACCTACTATGTAAAGATTTATACGGTGTACATTAAAGCAATAATATTATTATTATTACTCCGTGGCATCGATGAGTCAAAAAGTAGTCGATCAACTAGCTTATCGACCTGTTAACTTATTAATATCAAAATTTTCGTTACACAATTCAGTTTCCTCCAGCTCCTCGGGACTCAGGAGAAAGGAGTATGTGGTGATTCCACTAAAAACCACCCCGACGGCTGGCCTCAGGTACCTCCTCCCTGAATTGGCACCATGCCTAATCAGTCCCTATCGCAGGGGAAAACACTTCCCCCCCTCAATCGCGGCGTGGCTGCCCGTTTGCATCTTAATGCAATCAGGCTGCCATTCTATCCCTTACCGCAGCAATCAATCTACCACCAGAGGTCCCCACTCTGGCGGCCCGTCGTCGCCGACGTCCTCTACGTTCGTGATCTGCCCTCCCGATTCCGTTCAGCGGTCTATTTCTGGAGCATTCCAGCTTCACAGAAAGAGACCACTTCGCCACGTCCCTCCTCACCTCCATGGCAGCAATGATTGCTTGCGGGGACTCTTAACTTTACCTAGTAGTTGTTTTTAAATTCGTTAAACACCTTCGACCAGCCGATTGAACACTTGTCAATTTAATATCACTCATTGATTCATTTATTGGACTTCGACCAATGATATCTTTTTTGTAAATACTATCATTGATTTCCACTGTCGAATTAACTAATTCTTTTGTTCAACACTTATCGCTTCTTCTTGGGCCGTTACATTAATGGAGATTAAATGCACTTGAATCTTGTTAAAATGTTATTTGGATAAAATAATATGTGGAATGATATTGTATTTGTCTGTTAGAAAATTCGTGACAGTAAAAAGCTAAGAATCTTGATCGGGATTAGCAAGAACTTGCAAATTACAAATATTTAATAGGAACAAAAAAATATAAATTATTCAAACCGTGCCAAGTGTTAGTGCGTTACACATCTCTGCATAAGTTCTCGATGACGTATAGGATAGGCATTAGTATATTTTCTTTTCTTTTTAAACCATGAAACTATACAACATCTGCTCAGTCTCGCCACAGATCTGTTTTGTTCAAGAATTTAAAGGTTGGTGATCTTTATCCAGTGCCCGAATCT